GTGGCTCAGTGGCAGGGCATCTGCTTAGCATGCAGAAGGTTTCAGGTTCAGTCCCCGGCATCTCCAGTTAAAAGGACCAGGCAGCAGGTGATGTGAAAGGCCTCTGCCTGAAACCCTGGAGAGTCACTGCCAGTCTGAGTAGACAACACTGAGTCTGATGGACTGATCGACTGATTCAGTATAAGGCAGCTTCATGGGTTTATGTGCCCCAAACAGGCCCTGGCGATAGTTTCCCTCCTATTCCCTGTAATGCACAGTGTCATTCCATGCCACAATTACCTTCTCTTCCCACAGCAACCAATGGGATGGAACGGGGGAAGTGGAGAAACTGAAGGTGGTGATGACATCATGTCAACGTATTAATGCCCGTTAAGAACATAAGAGACGCCAATGTTGGATTGGGCCAAAGGCCCATCCAGTCCAACACTCTGTGTCACACAGTGGCCAGAAGTACCAGTGCCATCAGGAGATCCACCAGTGGGGCCAGGACATTAGAAGCCCTCCCACTGTTGACCCCCCCCTACCACCAAGAAGACAGAACATCACTTGCCCCAGAGCCCCTATCTATACCTATCTATACCCTATCTATACCTATCTATACGTTACCCAGGAGGAGGGGGGCACGAACTGCTGGACAACCATTTTTGGCAGTAGCCAGGTACTCCGGGTTTGTCCAGTTCTGTCTTAAAGCTGAAAACTGAACTAATCATTATAACTTATGTAGTACTTTTGGAAGTTCAGCATCCTTCATATGGGGAGACAGAAAACGGGGCGACATTTGCTACTTTCCCGTGATTCATCGCAGAGACGGATTTTAGTGGCAAATTACATATAGCTGTTGTTAGTAGATCAGTTCCCCATGGTGAAATCATGGCTGGAAGGAGATTCGCTTAGGGTCTCCCCCAACTGTTATTCTCGGCCATTGCTTTATAGCAGCTAAGACTGAAAGAAGCCATATTCAAGGAGGGCACAGATATGTGAGAGAGGATGTGCCTGGCACATCCAAGCTGCTGCTCGCAATCCCCAAAATCGCCAGCTTAGAAAAAAGATCTCAGAAAGGAAGACTGTGAAGAACCTTTGCCTGAGAACTTAGAAGGCTGCTCCCAGCCTGAGGAGTCGGAATAGGGTGACATGGACATCTAGCTGTTGGAGTGAGTGACTCAGCCTGCCTGGACACTGGGGGTGCCACAGCAGTCTAAGGGTGTATAGATCTTATCGCCTTGAATGGGATGCCTCTCTTTGTCTTAACCTAGGAGCTGCCCTCTGACCCCTCTCCTCTCTCCCTTTGTCCTCTCTCACTGCACATGGCCTTCCATGGAGACACATGTCTCTGCACGTCTGTCCTGTAGAGACAATGCCCTCATAATCCCACACTTATGATGTCGGACATGCTGGCCAGGCACTCAGTATCATGCTTCTGTGACTAAGCAAACTCTGCTGTATTAACCAAATATCCTAATATTAAACTACATGTCTGGCTACAAACTTCCTGGCCCCACCCCCCCAAAGCAACAGTAAGAGATGGTCACTTCCTCTAAGGTCCCCACCACCTTTACCCCATTTACCAACTCTTGCCTACCTGGTTTTAAGAAATCAGCTTGGCTTCTTCGTATTGATAACCCTTTTTATGTATTCATTCTACTAGCTCGGCTCGTTTTACTGACTCGTTTTACTGCCTGATTTGTTTATTGCCTTGATTAGTTTTGTTTTATTGCTTTAGTTGTGCGAAGGTCTGGAAAGGCAGCATACAAATTTCGTAAATAAAATACGGAATGGACTGCCTACGATCACACACACGGAAGCCAAAGTCTGAGCTTCGTTTTGTTAGATTTGAGGTAGAAGTAGAAAAGAGCAAGAGTCCAGCGGCACCTTAAAGACTAACAAAACAGAGAGCCAGTTTGGTGTTGTGGTTAAGTGCGCGGACTCTAATCTGGGAGAACCGGGTTTGATTCCCCACTCTTCCACTTGCACCTGCTGGATGACCTTGGGCAAGCCATAGTTCTGGCAGAGCTGTTCTTGAAAAAGAGCAGTTTCTGTCAGGGCTCTCTCAGCCCCACCTACCTCACAGGGGGTCTGTTGTGGGGAGGGGAAGGGAAAGAAGTTTGTAAGCTGCTCTGAGACTCCTTTGGGTAGTGAAGGGCGGGGTATAAATCCAATCTCTTCTTCTTCTCTTCTACCCTGTTAGTCTTTAAGGTGCCGCTGGACTCTTGCTCTTTTCTATTGCTACGTACAGACGGACACACGGCTTCCCATCTTGATCTAGTACAATAAAAAAGGATTTTTATTGCTCACTTTCTTTTGCATAGAAAAAGCCCTAAGCAACAGCCCATTCGTATTACCCCAAGGATACCTCTTGTAGGCATTACATCTCCTTTGTAATCAACGCCAGAAAGTGTCACTTTGATTAAATAAAAACTCGGAATTACTGGGACCGCAGGACAATAAATTCTCCTGAGCTCGCTTTCAGATCGGGCTTCAGCTTTAATTCTCCAGAGTCGTCTTTAATCAAAATGATGTTGCTAATTAAGGATTAAAAACCCAGAATTGATTTTTTTTTTTTAAAGTAAGGCTTTTCTCCCATTCTCATCTCCAGGCAGGTCAAGGAGGAAGAAATTTGCTTCAAGGAATCAAACAGTATTTTCACCTTCAGTAAAGCTGCAGCATTCAAGAAACCTTCGATTTAATCCAAAAAATGGAGATATCAACATAATTAGGGGTGAAGAAAGGAGGATATGCTCAGAACACCATCCCCACAGGAACCGAGCGAATACATTTACCATTGATTCTTCAATTATCAATATTAAAAATTTGCTGAGTTTCCACATTCATGGATCAAGCAGTTTTATTCCTACCCAGTTTGGCATTTGGTGTTGTGTCGGCACCTATACCGTTGTAAATGCCCCATCAACGCACCCTTAGAGGGGTGAACAGGATGAGGCTGGCTCCTAAGCTGAAGTCCAATGGCCGGTTCTGAGGCAGAAACACTGTCATGTGGCAAACATTGTAGCTAGACTCATAATTTATCAGTTACCTTAGTGATGCTAACCTCCAGGTGATGATTCTGGGATTACAACTGATCTTCAGGTGACAGGGATCAGTTCCCCGGCGAAAATGGCTGCTTTGAAAGGTGGAACCTATGGCATTATAACCCACCGAAGTCACTCGCCTTCCCCAACCCCACCCTCCTCAGGGTCCACCCCCAAAATCTCCAAGTATTTCTTAACCCAGAGGTAGCAAGTTACCCCTTCTGATCTCACCCTTTTTTCAAGGAGTTCATGGGACTTAACCTGCTTATCTACACTTCCTTCCTACCCTCACAACAACTGAGGTAAGTTAGGGTGGGAGAGGAGAACGGGCCCAACGTCACCCAGCATTAAAACAGCATTTAAAGTAATATATAAATATTCACCGAACATATAAGCACACAATGCCAAAACCAGGGAAGAAGGCAATGACCATTACTGGGGGTATGCCAACTGGAAACAAAAAAAAGTATTCACCCACAGGTGGAAGACACTGACAGAAGGAGAAAGATAAGAACATAAGATGAGCCCTACTGGATCAGACTGATAGTCCAGCCTAGTCCAGCATCCTGTCTTACACATTGGCGAACCAGTTCCTATGGATGGCCAACAACAGGGCCTAGAGGATGAGGCCTTCCCCTGATGTTGCCTCCTGGCTCTGGGATTCAGAGGCTTAGTGTCTCTGGATGTGGAGGTTCCCCTCAGTGACCGTGGCTAGTAGCCACTGATAGACTTATCCTCCATGAATCTATCTAATCCTCTTTAAAGTTGTTTATTCCTGTGGCCATCACCACATCCTCTGGCAGAGAATTCCACATTTCAATCACTCTCTGTGCAAAGCAGTATTTCCTTTTGTCCGTCCTGAACCCACTGCCCATCAGCTTCACTGGATGCCTTCAAGTTCTAGTATTTTGGGAGAGGGAGATTTTTTTTTATTTTTGTCAGATCTCTCCACCCCATGCATAATTTTGTAAACCTCTATCATGTCCCCCCTTAGTCATCTCTTTTTTAAAACTCAAAAGTCCCAGACTCTTCAGCCCTTCCTCATAGGCAAGGTGCTCCAACCCCCTAACCATCTCGGTTGGCCTCCTCTGGCCCCGTTCACATGGAGGATTTGCCGTGCTAAAGGCACAAGTGACATGTGGATTTTCAGTGCGCGATCACACCGCAACATCTGGGAAGCGTAGCGCACCCATGGCCAACCCGTGGCGTCCCGTCGAAGACGTGCAGTAAGTGTGGCCCCGCCCCCAGCGTGCCCGGCGTGCCCACGTCACTTCCTGGTGACGCACACGCAGGGGTGGGGTTCCCCCCGGGGCCCGATTCCATGGCGTTGGAAATTGGGGCTCCAAAGTGGGGGTTTACTTGACCCCCGCCCCCACTTGGCAGCTCTAAGAACTGTGCATGCGCACGGATGCGAAATGCTTGCTGCACCGCACCGCTTCTTTGCCACGCTCCACTGCTCCAGCATCGCCGTGTGATCGCCAGCTAACAGCCTACGCGCAAAGCCTCAGGGGACCGTCTGATCGGGCTACCGCACTTTGGCAAACAGCCATGCCTCCCCCCTGTGTTATCTGGTCCGTGTGACCGGGGCCTCTGTACTTTTTCCAGCTCTGCAATGAATCTCCCTGGGGAGGCAGTTCCAAAGTTTTGGCACCATGATCAAGAAGAACCCCCACACCCGGGTCTAGCCTCAGATAGCAGGGGCACCCGAAGCAGGGCCTCTATCTTCCACATTCAGAGGCACTCAGCCTCTGAATACCAGGGCTAGGAGGCAACATCAGGGGAAGGCCTCAAATAATTCTATGCCCTGTTGTTGGCCTTCCAGAGGAACTGGTTGCCCACTGTGTGAGACAGGATGCCGGACTAGATGGACCGCTGGTCTGATCTAGCAGGGCTCTTCTTCCGTTCTTATCCTTCGAGATACCTACCTATAAAATGCAGCAACTTGCAGATATACACCAATCTGATCCATCCCACCAGGCACTCTGCAAGCCAGTTCATCAGGACAGGCATCACCATGCAGGGCCCACAAACCCCAGGTTAACTATGGCTGCTTGGTAATTGAGGTAGTTGAGCTTGATGGTGCAGAAAAGGATGCTGCTGCAGACAATGCCAGAGAAGGCGAACTTCTCATACAGTACCACCAGCAGCAAGCACACCATCATGTGTAGTTTTCTCTGTGCCCTTGAGCCGGACAAATTGCCAACTTGGTCCCAGGTGGGGAAGAGTTTTCTGTCCTTCTTTGTGATGTGATTGACAAGTCCCTTACTTTGCAAGGTTCTTACATCTATCAGAGGCATGTCTTGGCATTGCTGGACGGGACTGGCTCCAAGCAGCACATGTTCTGCGCATGTTCACTCCTGGGGCTGCAACTAACACATCTCTGTTACATTCCACCCCTTGCCGCAGCAATCTTCAGGACTTCCTTCCTTCCCATGTTTCGAGGCATCAATATTAACTTATTCCAGTAGGCAACATTTTGCAGAAACCAATCTGTTTAATTAGCTTGTTTGGTTGCAAACACCACCTTTCCTCTTCCACCCCCCAACCCCGCATACAACAATTGCCTATTAAATTACGTGAATCCAATACAATGCGCAGGCAAACTTTATCTGCCTGTTACAGATAAAGGTTTAAATACCGAGGAAGGCTAAAGCACCTCAGCGAAATTCAAGGATTGGGATCAAGGAAAAAAAAGAACACCGGGCTAATATCCCGCCAGTTTAATTAAGCAACTACAAATGAAACTGGAAGCAAAGAGATAAAGTCGGGAAGGATTCATGTCAGCCGATGAACAATAGCTTATCGATATTACATTTCTTGTTATTTTGAGAGTTAAAATTCAGATAAGAAAGTTAATTAGGAAGAAAAAGGATCTACCACTTTATTTAAGTGTAATAAGGAATATCTCTATTATCACCCCCCCCCACCCAAAAATAACGACAATGTTCTAATGAAAAGAGGTGACGGGGAAACAGACAGAAAAACGTTCAAGCCGGAAATATTTCTGTCGTGATTATGGTCTAGTCTCAAATGCTTTGCTGAGATTCGGAAGAGAGAAATGTCTTTTGGGGTGTGTGTGTGTGGGTGTAACAGGAAATGATGGCTCGCGAGCCAGTACAGTATAGTGGTTAAGAGTGGCAGATTCCAATCTGGAGAAATGGGTTTGATTCCCCACGCCTCCACATGAAGCTTGCTGGGTGGTGACCTTGGGCCAGTCACAGTCCTCTCAAAACTCTCTCAGCCCAACCTGCCTCACAGGGTGCCTGTTGTGGGGAGAGGAAGGGAAGGCGATTGTATGCCGCTTTGAGACTCCTTAAGGCAGAGAAAGCTGAGGTAGAAAAACCTCCTTTCCTTCTTTTTCTTCTTCTTGTGACAAGGATCTCTGAAGAACCCTGCTCTTGATTTATTTACGAAACGTTTAAGCGATCTCTCCTGGGACCTTGCTTGAAGCAGCTAATGATTGAAAAGTCTTCTTTTTTAAAAAAATCACATCGCAATAAAATAAACAATACAACACACTAACCCTCTTCGCGTCAAAGCCAGCAACAGGACCATCATAATTTGGCATAAAAGCCACTGTGGTTTAGCGGTTTGAGTGTTGGACTAATACCTAGAAGACCCAGGTTCAAATCCCCACTCTGCCATGGAAGCTTGCTGGGTGACCTTGGGCCAGTCACACACTCGGCCTAACTTACCTCACTAGGGATGCCAGCCTCCAGGTGGGACCTGGAGACCCCCCTGGAATTACAGCTCATCTCCAGACTACAGAGATCAGTTCCTAGGGTTGCCAGGTCTCCCCTGGTCACCAGCGGGGGATGGGGGGTGGATAGGCTTGAAAGATCCAGTTTGGGAAACTCCTGGAGATTTGGGAGTGGAGCCTGGGGAGGACAGGGAATTCAGTGGGGCACAATGCCATAGAGTCCACCCCCTAAAGCATCCATTTTCTCCAGGGGAACTGATCTCTGTCGTCTGGAGATGAGCTGTATTTCCAGGGGGGTCTCCAGGTACCACCTGGAGGCTGGCATCCATATCAGTTCCCCTGGAGAAAACGGATGCTTTGGAGGGTGTGCTCGATAGCACTGTGCCCCACTGAGGTCCCTGTCCTCACAATATGCATTGAGGCACAATATGCATTAGGGATGCCAGCCTCCAGGTGGGACCTGGAGATCCCCTGGAATTACACCTCCTCTCCAGATTACAGAGATCAGTTCCCCTGGAGAAAATGGCCGCTATGGAGGGTGAACTCTCTAGTACTGTGCCCCACTGAGGTCCCTGTCCTCCCCAGGCTCCATCCCCAGATCTCCAGGAGTTCCCCAGCCTGGATCTGGCAACCCTACCCTGGACCTGGCAACCCTAAATGTCAGCCTTATAGCTCCCACCCAGCATTCTTTAGGAAAATATGTTTATGTCTCCGTTCTAGACTTGCCAACCTCTGGGGTGGGGTCTGGAGATCTCCTGGAATTGCAACTGATTTCTAGGCTACAGAGATCAGTTCCCCAGGAGAAAATGGCTGCTCTGGAGGGTGGAGTCTGTGGTATTAGGCCCCACTGAAATCTCTCCTCTCCCCCAACTCCACACTCACAGGCTCCACCCCCAAATCAAAAGGACTTTCCCCATCTACTCGATTCCCATGTTTTGCTATTTTTTCTGCAAAGAAAGGGTTACACATTGATATATAATAAAATACCTCTGAGTATATACAGAATGTCTGTTGATGCCTAGTGAGTGACTGCAATTTTATCCCCACATGCTTACAACTAACCAGCAGGGCAGACCGTGCCTAAAGTCCTAAATCAGTCTCCATTCTGCAAGCCAGTTTGGTGTAGTGGTTAGGAGCGCGGACTCTAATCTGGGAGAACCGGGTTTGATTCCCCACTCCTCCATATGCAGCCAGCTGGGTGACCTTGGGTCAGTCACAAGTTCTCTCAGAGCTCTTCTCTCAAGAGCAGTTCTCTCAGAGCTCTCTCAGCTCCACCTACCTCACAGGGTGTTTGTTGTGGGGAGGGGAAGGAGATTGTAAGCCGCTCTGAGACGCCAAGTGAAGGGCAGGGTAAAAATCCAATCTCTTCTCTTCTTCTTCTCTTCAAATAGCACCATCCCTCCCTCCCCACTTTCCCTGACATCCTTCTAGAATCAGTCTAAAAGAAATACGTTTATGCACCAAATAGAATGCCAAGGGAGAAATATTTTTGCTTCAAACAGAAGTTGTGTGTGTTTTTATCCTGTATCAACGACACTGCCATAATAATATAGATATCATAAAAGGGAGGAAAACCCACATGCTCTTAAATGTCTTTGTTGCACGTTGCACTTTGTTAACGTTAATGCATCCTAGAAAGCTTTGTTAAATAATATTTACAATTGAATTAGCATACCTAAGGAGAGAGAGCCTGATAGGGCATTGATTTTTCTATTGTCTATACAGTTTGCCTGGCAATTGCAACCTTTTGTCTCCCCAAAACCTCCCCAAAACCTGTCCCCCACATGGTAGCTGGGCATAATTATCTCCCTACTGAGGAAAAACAGCACTTTTCAGATGCTCAGGAGAACTATCTTATTTGCCAGTTCCTCTAACACATCCTGGGGCAGAGCCCTGACATTCCAGACAGCCGCCGCAGCCAAACTGCAACTCAAAATACCAGCTGTCTCCTTTGACGGCAGCTTCCATTTGAGCAGGTGAGGCCGTCTGGCAATCTGTCAGTAACATACTGAGAGTCTCCCGGGAGGCAAGCCCTTTGCAAAGGGGGTGGTGGGAGGGGCGAGAAGCAGCTACAAAAACCTTTGTTTCATCTCTGTGTTAAAAAAATATTACATTTGACGTCCCTGAAGAGAGGCCAGGTAGAATATTGGTGGTATTAACAAGAACAGAAAGCAGGTAGTTAGTAAGATCCTGTCAGAAATGTGAGGAAATTCCGTCTGCGGCAGATGTTTGTGGGAACGGTGTTTGCTTCTTGGAAGACCTCTAAGACTCGAATGAACAAATCTACAGGCCAGGCAGCTGTTGTAATCTTACCCGTTTTCAGCAGCTCATAGACAACGTCTTTCAGTCAGACTTCAACTAAGTAATGTTGCTCTAAAAAGGTTCAGTCCTATAATGACATGTCCCAATAGGGTGAGGATTCAATTATATTTATTTGGGAGTAAGCCCCTTTGCCTACAATGAGATTTAGTTCCTTTTTAAAAAATAAATTTTAATTGTACAAAGTCGCAAGATACAGCTGATTTGGAGGGTGGATTCGATGGCATTGTACCCTACTGGAGAGCCAGTTTGGTGTAGTGGTTAAGTGTGTGGACTCTAATCTGGGAGAACCGGGTTTGAGTCCCCACTCCTCCACTTGCACCTGCTGATGTGACCTTGGGTCAGTCACAAGCTCTGGCACAGCTGTCCTTGAAAAAGAGCAGTTTGTGTCAGAGTTCTCTCAGCCCCACCCACCTCACAGGGTGTCTGTTGTGGGGAGGGGAAGGGAAAGGAGTTTGTAAGCCGCTCTGAGACTCCAAGTGAAGGGCGGGGTATAAATCCAATCTCTTCTTCTTCTCTACTGAGGTCCCCTCCCCTCAGAGCGGCTTACAATCTTTTTTCTCTTCCCCTCCCCACAACAGACACCCTGTGAGGTGGGTGGGGCTGAGAGAGCTCTCCTGAGAACTGCCCTTGAGAGAACAGCTCTGAAAGAACTTGTAACTGACCCAAGGTCACACCAGCAGCTGCATGTGGAGGCGTGGGGAATCAAACCCGGTTTTCCCAGATTAGAGACGGCACACTTAACCACTACACCAAACTGGTGTTGGTAGGAGCCACAGTGTCCACTGACACCATGTTGGGGGACCCCTGTGCTGAGTCATTCTCTGGATTAAATGCATCTTTCCATACCAGCCTTCATTCCATTTGCCTGGAGTTGTGGGCCTTGGAATATTACGCCTCTTGTGTTGCGAAGGAACTGTCTACTGAAGGAACGTGAGTTCTGATCTCTGAACCTTGCTGCAGTAAAATAAAAATCAGTTTTTCTGTGAGTTGACTTTCTTGGACTGGGAGTTGGCACTATCTGGTGTTGTCGTTCTTCAGTCACACAGTCTAGTCCGACGCTTCGATCTGCTTCGATCTCCTGACTGATGCGATCTTCTTGCAGTCCAAGGGACTCTCAAGAGTCTTCTCCAGCACCATAATTCGAAAGCATCTATTCTTTGGCGCTCGGCCTTCCTTATAGTCCAACTCATGCAGCCATACATTACTACTGGCAATACCACTGGTTTGACCATACAGACTTTTGTTGGCAGGGTGATGTCTCTACTTTTTATTATG